CATCGACGCCGATCGAGTTTGCCTCACCTCCAAGCGACATCACAGAGTTCATGGATGCTTTCCACAATGGTGAGGTGCGGTTCCACAGGTTGGACGACATCATCGGCGGCATAGGGTCCTCAGTCCTGGTGGGTCGACTGCTCAATGACCCAAAGCTGCTTCTCGTCAGTGCAGAGGAACCACCCACGTTCACTCTGGTCGAGCGTGATGCAGATTGGAAATGGGTGATGCTAGAGGAGATGAAGGCGATCGAGAAAAATGAGACTTGGGAGCTCATCGATCCACCTCGAGGATGTCGTCCGGTGGGCCTAAAGTGGGTGTACAAAGGTCAAGCGGGACGAGTGCGGCACCATTATCAAGCACAAGGTGCGCCTCGTTGCCCGAGGCTTTGTCCAGCGATGAGGGCATCGACTTCGAGGAAGTCTTTGCGCTAGTAGCGCGCATGGAGTCTATCCGACTGCTGCTGGCTTTGGCAGCAGCGAAGGACTGGAGGGTCCATCACTTGGACGTAAAATCGGCTTTCCTCAATGGTGAGCTGGCGGAGACGGTCTTCGTCAGGCAACCTCTAGGTTTCACCGTCAAGGGAGCGGAGCACAGGGTGCTCCGACTGCGCAAGATGCTCTACGGGCTGTGGTAGGCCCCGCGAGCGTGGAACGCCAAGTTTGACGCCACACTGGGGGAGTTTGGGTTCACACGATGTGTAACCGAGCACGCGCTCTACACGCGGTGACGGGGAAAGGAGGAGCTCGTCGTCGATGTGTATGTGGATGACTTGATCATCACCGGCACGCTTGCGGAGGACATCGATAGCTTCAAGCGTGAGATAGCGGCTCATTTTTGAATGAGCGATCTCGACGCGCTCTCCTACTTCCTCGGCATCAAGATGAGACAGGGGAAGAAGACGCTCACGCTTGGTCAGGGCGCGTACGTCTCGAAGCTGTTGGAGCGGAGTGGCATAGCTAAGTGCAAGCCGTGCGTGACTCTGATGGATGAGTGGCTGAAGCTGACGAAGGACAGTACCGCGGCGAAGGTAGATGCAACATTCTACCGGAGCATCACCAGCAATTTGCGCTACCTAGTCCACACGAGGTCGAACATTGCGTTCATCGTGGGCTACGTCAGTCGCTTCATGGAGGATCCCCGAGAGGATCACTGGGCCGCGGTGAAGCGGCTGCTGCACTACGTTAAGGAGACGGTGGATTAGGGGATCGTCTTCTCCAAGACCGACGGAAGTGGGCTGCAGTTCACTGTGTTTAGCGATGTAGACATGGCGGAGGACATCGACGGACGGTGGAGCACCTCTGGCGTGCTTGTCTTTCTCGGATCGGCTCTAATCTCATGCCTGTCGCTTAAACAGAAGGTGGTGGCGATGTCCACGTGTGAGGCAGAGTAGGTGGCGGCGGCCACAGCGGCATGCCAAGCTGTGTGGCTGCGCCGGCTGCTGGGTGAGCTGACCGGTGTAGAAGTTCACCCACCAGCACTGATGGTGTACAACCAGCCCGTCATCGCCCTCGCGAAGAATCCGGTTCTCCACGACCGGAGCAAGCACATCGACATCAAGTTCTACTTTCTCAGGGACTATGTCAATGGAGGGCGGATCGTCATCGAGTTCGTCGAAACTGGTCGGCAACTCGCGGACGTTCTCACCAAGCCGCTCGGCCGTCTTCGGTTCACGGAGCTGAAGAAGATGATCGGCATGGTGGAGGTTTTAGGGTTAGCAGCAAGATTAGGGAAATAATTATAAACTAATCTGCAGCTCTCCCATCGTGTGAACGCGCGGCATGGGCAGGCGCTGAAAAGCTCCCCTGCCGCATTGTAGCCACAGGAGGGGCAGGTGCCAAAGTCAGTCCTGCTGTCACATCTAGTCAATGTAGCAGCATGATAGCCTGACATATCTGTGTACTAGGATTAGATGGGTAGAGTTATATATGTAGCTTCCCACTGCAACTCAGTAAAGAGAACGAGTTCAGTTTTGTCATCTCCTCTGCAGAGCTCTGACCAACGCTGATGCTTGTGCTGTGTGTGCGCTCTGTTCTTCTTCCCTTCTTCTACTCTAACCATAGTTTGTGGTCGACAACGCCGATAAACGATCGACTCACCCGTGTCGGAGATCCTGGGTCCATCGCTGCTGCTGGGCCAAGCTTTGCATCGTCTATTCGGCTTCCTCAGCGGCAGACAGCGGGTGACCCCAAAGCTTCACGGCCGTCCTGCTTAGTTTAGCTGGCTGGGACTGGGATTATGCAGTAAACTGACTGGCCATGAGTTGTTTGCTGCCGGGATTAGTAGTTTATCAAAGTGTGACGTGTCCTTGCTTCAGTTTAGGGGAACTGTGCATGGATTCATCCAGGCAACATGCATCCCTCTCACTCTCTTGAAAGAGAGGCTGTTGCTGCGCCATGATACGATGATGTGATGTGGTATTCATGTCTAATGATGACGGTGATGATGATAGCTTACCCGCTGACTATGCCAGGTACAGTAACGAGTTTGTGGGCTGATTTCATCATAACGAAAAGGAAAAAAGGACTTTTGTGGGCTCTATGCTGGGCCTTAGAATCCAGAGACATGGATGGGTATGGCCTGTTCTTTTAGAACTCCAGAGCATCATGCATGCGACATGCTCTGTCCGTTGCATTCATCAGGCACATAAATTCAGTGTTTCAGCATTCAGATAATCGAAGTTCAGCTCAGACTTTCAGAGCATCCACCGACGCAAAGCCAAATTCTGTTTGCATTATTGCCAACTGTTTGGATGGCGATCCTAGTACTTCCAGGTAAGATGTCTTGCTACAAACTGGATTATCGCCCCTATATTTGTCATTGCACTGATGAATGGGTCTTTTACATGTTTGCTAGAAAAAACATAGAATTCTGAGTTTATCTTCTTCTTCTCAAGAGACAAGAGAATTCTTAGGTAAAAAAATACTTACAGCCACATTCTACAATAGGACACTATCTCTTCTCTAGTTATTATAGTCTTTGGTCTGTTAGCAAGGATTTTGCACACCTGAATGCGCCACTATGGCAAGGAGTATCTTTTGTAAGTTAGCTAATTAGATTCTCTGTGATGGAACTTTTCACAGAGTTTAAGTTTTTGACTTAGTATGGTGCTTGAATTTTTTTTTGAACTATTTCAAGATTTAACGTGCTATTCTTCAAGATATGCATGTGTGCATGGAGGTGAGTACATGTGTGCGTTCATGGGCGTCTACGTCTCTAATGTGTACTAATTTAGGGGGGGAAAGGGAGAGTATATGTCCAATTATGGCAGGACAGTGTTTTGGGGGCTATAAGCTAGGCGTTGCAAAATTGCAATCCACTGACATTGTTGTAAGAAGGCACCTCTAGTGTGAAATCAATTTGCTCTGCAAAGAGCGTTCTACGCGGCCATTATGTGAACATCGGCTCACGGCCTGCTAGTTTTGTTTCCCTCTCGCTGCGTCAGATCTAGGTAGGTATGTGAATCTCTCGCTCCTAGATTAGCAGCTTGTTCGGTTGGCTGGTTCGTTTCATTGCTGGTTCGTGAAAAAATACTGCTGGCTGGTTTGTGTGAGAGAAAAATATTGTTCCGGCTGAAAATTTACGATCGTTTACGACAAGCCACGCCAAACGAACAGGCTGTAGTATTGCCAGGCTATTGAAAGTGATTTTTTTATGCAGCTTGGTTCGATTTTTCTACAACATCCGATTTTCAGATCCCCTTTCCCAAAAAGTTTTTCTCGATCCCTCAAAATCTCCCCTCTCTCCCTCAAATGCAGGTCGGGTAGCATTTTTTTTCAACCTCCTTTCCTACCTTCACACTCAATGGCATATGGGCTCCACGTTGCGCTGCACCACGACGTGAGCATCAGCGGTGCCACCGCACTGAGCTCGGCATTGGTTGGGATTGCAACAGTGCGCTTGGCAAGCGAGGCCATGCACGTGGGCTAGCCACCGCCGCTCCATTGCGGCGGCGCGCGCTGGCCACCGCTCATCCGCTCATTGCCACGACGGAGGAGAGAGGATGCCGCGACAGAGGAAGAAAAAAGAGAGTGCCACTGACCTATGAGTCCCACATGACAATAGATGGAAAGGGACGGATTGTTTTGTTAATATGTTGCAGAGCATCTCCCATACCTCCTTTAGTTTTGTTTTCTCAATCTCTTATATCAAAATTTTAGGGAAAGGAGATTCTCAATCAGTGGAGATACTCGACTGTGTTCGGCTGGGGTAGTGCACAATGAATTTCGGATGGTTTTGGATGATTAATAGTGTTCTGTCGAGAGAGAATAAGCTAAAATAAGTTGGAAGTGTACCAGCCGAAGGAGTGATTAGGATGCTACGAGGAGTGATTAGGGCCTGTGAGTACGAGACCTCAAGCAAAGTGCATCGGGGATTGCTCCCTAATGGGCTGCGTCGTCCGGTTAATTGGACTTTTAATTTAGTCGATATTCTTTTAATTATGTTATAGTAGTTGGTGTATCATGCGCATCCAGTGTATTAAAGTTAACGGACTTGGCAGAGCAGTGCATGCGTGTTTCGCAATACTCCAGACCAGCTGAAATTAATTTCAAATTCAGATTAAATTTGCAGCATCTAAATGCCAATTACTCCTACTTAGTTCATATAACTACACAAGTTCTTAACCCACATCGCAATTATACAGCGACCGCACCCCGCCCCGGACGCAGCACAGGCCTCGTGATCCCCACCGTCTCCATCCTCGCGCGGCGGCCCGATCCACCTCCCTCTCCCTCCTCCAGCTTCAAAACAAAAAGGGTCCAAACCAGGCTACCGTTACAGCTGCACGGCCCAACGGCTACTCCCATTTCAAATCCCTTCCCCTTCTCCCCGTGCCCCCTCTACTCTCCACAGCGCTCCTTCCTCCATCTCTCTCCACGGGTTTCCGCGAACCCTAGAGCTCGCCCCCGTCTGCGGAGTACGGGCTCACCAGCAGCGGATCCCCAGATCGCACCCCGCCTCCCGAAACCCTATCTCGGCTGATCCTGATCCCCCCACCGATGGCGCCGCCGCCCACCCCGCCTGCGCGTCCGGCGCCGGTGCCTCAGGCCACGGCCGCGGCCGCGACGCCACTCAGGACGCCCGCGTCCAAGCACCGCCTCCACTTCCCCGCCGCCACCCCGAGGAACGCCAACAACGGCGGCGGCGGCGCCACGGAGCACCCGGTCGAGGTGATCGGCCGCATCCGGAACCTCGCCTCGGGTGCTACGTCCGCGCTGGAGATCGCGGGCGGCGGGACGGCCGTGCGCGTGCGCGGCGACGCGGGCGTGTGCCGCGACTTCACCCTCGACGGCGCCTCCGTGTCCGAGGAGGAGAACCTCGAGGGCTTCTACCGCCGCTTCGTGCGCTCCAGGATCCAGGGCGTCCGGGTCGGGGCCAAGTGCACCGTCATGGTCTACGGGCCCACGGGGTCCGGGAAGAGCCACACCATGTTCGGCTGCGCCAACAATCCCGGGATCGTGTACCGCGCGCTCAGGGACATCCTGGAGGGAGGCGGAGGCGGCGAAGGCGATTCCGCCGAGGATGACGCCGGGTTTGACGCCGGCCTCTTCGTGCAGGTCGCGGTGCTGGAGATCTACAACGAGGAGATCTACGATTTGCTCGCGGGAAGCGGGGCCACTGCTAAAGGAAATGCCCCCAAGGTGATTTACGCTTGTTATTGTCACATGGCACGCTCTAGTCTGCTGATTATGTGCTTGCAAAATTTCAACTGTGATGTGTTTGCAAATGTGAATTCTTATTGCCTGGTACTAGTATACTTTATTAGGAATTTGCTCAAGAATAAGTAATTTGTGGTTTTGAGTGCGACATAGTGAATCTAGGCTGAAACAGGTACTGTGATTTTAACCCTGATAAACCAAAATATTTTGTATTAGGCGCTATACTTAGGTACTACTAGTAGTATTTTCTTGGGATTCAGCTGGTAAGTCACACGAACTGACAATGAAGTGCTCATAAGACATAACATGAATTAAACAGAAAATACCTTAAAGTGTCATAGATACTTTTCACGTGCTGTGATTTATTCTGCTGCTTATGTTGCTGTAAATGTGAGTTCCTATGCGACCAGTATTTCAGATCATTAATTACGGACCGAGAAGGTGGGTACCATCTTCTTGCTTTTTTGCGTGTGTGTTTTGTGTGGGTTTCTTGTCATTCGATCGTTGCGATTTTTAAATCTGATTAACTATAAGCTCAATATTAGGTCATTGTGATGTTTAAATATGTTAATGCGTTTTCTAACCTTAGTCAAGCAATACCGGAGTTTTATCCACCAAAAACAGATCGTCATTTGGCCTCAAATTGTAATGTTTTATTGGGGATTGTAGCTCGAACATCCCAGGTCTTAATTAGGAAGTGCTGACGAGTTATAATTTGAAATGTGAGAGCAAATCTCATGATTACCAATGTTGCCATTCGTTGTTCTTGGTGACTGTCACTGTAAATTTATGAATTGATGTAAATCAGTGTATCATTGAAGCCTCACAGTTCTGTATCTATGCACAGGCGAGACTGGAAGTAATGGGGAAAAAAGCAAAGAACGCAACTTATATATCTGGAAATGAAGCTGGGAAGATATCAAGAGAAGTTTCTAAGGTGGAAAAGCGAAGAACTGTGAAGAGCACACTTTGCAATGAGAGAAGTTCGCGAAGCCATTGCATGGTTTGTTGCATTCAGCCACCAGCACTTTGAGCATTCATTTTTTTTAAACCAAGCTTTTTACGAGCTATGCATTGCATCTGTAGATTATCCTGGATGTCCCATCTGTGGGAGGAAGGTTAATGCTTGTGGACATGGCTGGTTCTGAAAACATAGAAGCAGCAGGACAAACAGGATTTGAAGCCAAAATGCAGGTGTGTTATGCAACTGATTCCTGTATGTTTGTAGCATCTAGCATCCATGTGTTCCAAACTTCCAATTGCACTCTGAACAATGGCTTTCAAGTAGTTGCTCTGTGTACTTAATAGATAGTTTCACACTGATCTTGCGACATGAATTGTACCACTGTCAAAAGCCTATAATATTTTATTACATGTGTGGTCTATAATGTTGCCAATTTTTCCACAGACAGCAAAAATTAACCAAGGGAACACTGCTTTGAAGCGAGTAGTTGAATCCATTGCTAATGGTGATTCCCATGTTCCATTTAGGGACAGCAAGCTCACAATGCTACTACAGGTACACTACAAAAATTTACATTTATTGATACAGCCTCTCTCTAACGATGACCTAAATATCTTGTATTTCAGGATTCATTTGAAGATGACAAATCAAAAATCCTGATGATTCTGTGTGCTAGTCCTGACCCAAAAGAACTGCACAAGACAGTTTCTACTTTGGAATATGGTGCTAAGGCAAAGTGTATTATCCGTGCTGCTCATGCCGCAACACCTAGGGACAAAATGAGCTCTGAGGAGTCATCTGCGATGCTCAATTCCAGAATTGTTGCGATGAACCAGTTCATCCACAAGCTTCAAAAGGAGAACAAATTGAGGGAGAAAGAGCGCAATGAGGCCCAGAATGGGCTAAGGCTGAAGGAAGAGGAGCTAGCACAACTGAGAACAAAGCTCAATCTGATAGAAGGGCAAGAAATGGAGAAAACCTGGTCATTGAGGAGTGAACTCATGAAGATGGAAGAAGCGATGCTTAAGCAGCAGCAAGAGCTTACTGCACTAAGACAGCGACTGCAGGAGGTTGAGCGTGAAAAGGCTGATGGTTCTCAGCTAGTGCAGCAGGATATCTTTGGAGGTAGATTGCTGGCACGGCTATCAGAGATGCCTGCAGGCCTTGATCAATCAATGGCAATGTCCATGTCTATGGACTTGGATACGGGAGACCAGTCAGCCATGCAAGATGTCAAGGTAATAAAGGAGGATACTCGCCAGCAGGGCCACATATGGAATCAAACAGCCACAGCAGCAAGTGCTTGCACAGGGTCTGTGGTGCAAGAAGATGATGTCAGGCTGTCCGGGTATCCTGAAAAAACTGTCCTCACCACTGTGTTTGAGGAGGGAGATGAAGAGGATGCAGAGAAGGAATGTGGTCTTCAAGGGGGGGTACGCAAGGAGGTTGTAGAGGAGAACTTTAAGGTGGACATAACACAACATACACTTTCTGAGCAAGATGATCCTGCAACAAGGAAGCATCGGATTGAGAACATATTCAGGCTCTGTGGCAATCATCGTGAAATAACTAAGAAACCAAAGGTCCAGTCACCAGCAAAGGAAATGTTCTGGAATGAGAACAAGTCTCCAGCGAAGCAAGTGTTTGGGGATCAGAACAAATCACCGGCAAACCAAACTTTTGGAGATGAAAACAAGGAGCCGTCGGCATGGGGAGCTATAGAGAACCCCATGTGCGACGTCAGAGTGACTGACAGCCCAGTGTCTTCTCAACTTTCTCCAATCGTATGCCAAGTTGTGGATGCACCATTATCGGATCAACTGAATACATGCAGTGCAATGGAAGAGAGTGATCCCAACAAGGAGGACAGCCTTGCTGGACAGAAGGATGGTGGCCTCTTGGAAGTTTACATAAAATGGGAGTCTGGCAGCCTGATCAAAGGGCTGAAGCTACTGCGCAACTCATGCCTTTCAGATCTGAGGAAGCTAATAGAGGCTCACTTTCAAGAAGTAGGCAGCAAACAGCAGCAGCATCAGTTCACCTTCCTTCTCCTCGGGGTACGTCACTCCTCTCTATCCATGCCATGCTTTCACCCAAGTGTTCTGTGCTACCTGTTTCTCATCACAATGGTGCTCATTTATAACCATATACTGTCTTGGGGAAATGAAACCCTGCAACAATAGAGAAATGAACATCTTGCCAACGATTTTGAAATAAAAAAAGTAGCCCATTTATTTGAACTTGTGTTTATCATTCTGGAAGAAAATCCGATTTTTCCAAACAACTCGTTGATAAGAAAACCATGCATAGCGATAAATGTACTGAAAATAGCCTGCTTATATCACTAGGAAAGTACTGACAATAGTGCAAAATTGGTGGTTGATTGGTGCAGGATCCGTCCGGTGCTCCGGTGTCCAGGGACAAGGAAGCTTCGGTGCAGATAAGCAGGCTGCCTCACTGGAACAACCAGCCGGACAGCTACCTCGCGTGCCTGCGCGCAGCCAAGAAGCCGGCTGCAGACCACATGCCCTTCAGCCCGCTGGACAGCAAGCTGAACACGGTTGTGAAGGACGTGCACCTCGCCGCAGGTGCGATGTAGCCCAAGGTCAACCAGATGAGCTCACCCAAAAAGGTCAACCAGATGAGCTCACCCAGCAAGGTCAACCAGATGAGCCCCAACTACATCCGGGAGCTGAGAGCTTGAGCTCCGGGTGGCATCTGTTGTTGCTCGTCTCGTGGCCACATGACTGGTGTATCTTCTATGTATGATCGATCGACCATGTTCTTTGTAAGATTGATTGCTAGTCTGGTTTCTTTAGCCGGAACTACTACCACCCGTGACCAAGATTAGTTGTGATTTCAATTATGAGATGGCATCGCTCAGATGCCACCACCTATCGATTCTTGTGTGAGCTACATTTCCTTTTCCTCTCTGGCCGCGAGAAAAAAGACTTTGGTCGTTGGAGAGCTGGAGGCGTGGGGCTCTGGTCTGTAGCACTCTGTAGTCTGTACACTTGTACAAGACGCCGCGGGCGAGCCCGTGCCGTGGTTATTGACGCCCAGTGCCAGTCCCCAATCATGAGCGCTGGCCGTGCTTTGCCAGTTTGCCGGGCGAAAAAGGGTTACAGGCACGCGTCTCCCAGCGCCAGCGGGGAGGATGTTATCAAATTTGTCCCTCCTGCTCGTTGTTAATTTTGTGGTTCCACTATTGTGATTTTGCTGTCGTCGTCTTTTGAAAAAAGGAAGAAGAATCTAAGCCCTCTCTTCCAAGCTCAGTTTTGAATATTTTAGTCCTTGCAAATCTATTCATATTCCATTTCAGTAAGACATATACCTCATTACTCTGCAATGCTCTAACATGGTATGCCGCAGGGTGCGAAGAGCAGTGCCCCAGTTCAGGAAAACATACATGGTCGAGAACAAGGCCGGGAGCTCGGCGGAAGAAGCCAAGAAACTGGAGGAGCTCGACACCAACCTGGAGAAGCATTACATAGCAGTAGCAGGCCTCCGCATGAGAGATGGCAGGACAATCGGCCTTGGCGGCCTCTAGAAACTCTGCTTGCAGATGCTGCGGCATTGAAAAATTCAGAGAGCCTGCTCTCTACAACCTACACAGTGTCTTGTTTATTCTTGCACTTATAATTTTTCCTGGCCGGTTTACGTTAACTACTGTGTTGCCGGGTTATCTTGAAGCTCTAGAACATCTATGCCCTGATTGACACTCCTGTACCGCGTTGGCATAACCCGTCATTCTGGAGTAGTAATTCGCCGGTTATTGTTTCGCCCAAAGATGTTTGGTTTGAGGCCTAACTAACTATGCCTACCAAGAATATTGGTTACGACTAACGCAACGTCAGGATCAAAATTTTGGTCATTAATCCTTCATTCATGTACCTACAAAACTTACAGAAGCCCTTACAATTCAGTTTCCTTCCGTTGGAATAGTGCAATAGAAACAACATGTGGTCTAAGCTATCTCTTTGCTATCTTTAACTCTAACATTACAAAGCATCAATTTTAGCTGATTCTACACCTGCTGTCCCTGTGGCTCTTCGTGTTGAACTTAAACCTAAAAGTGATATAAGGTAAGCTGCCTCCAAGACAGCCCTCTCCATCCTTCAACAGTACCTTGTACCTTTTCCTTATATATATCCCAAAATGAGCAATACCTTTTCGTTCTTATATATATCCCAACAATGTTCAACAGAACTTAAGATATGGACATGCAACAAGATCTTTTGAGAACATTGTTGGGATCAAACCAAAGCGACCAAAAGTTAGCAGCCCTTCACAGCCAAAGGATAGCAATAAGCCTAAGCATGGGGAAGAACATTCTGTCAGCGAGTTGTCTTCATCGCAGAATCAGTCGCGACTATTTGTGGGCGAGAAGGGATCATCCCATGGGACTGTGAATCCTGACCACACAGCGCCATTTGGAGGTGCTCATAGAGGTTGCGGGCGTTGGACGTCTGTGTTGTACTGTGTAATTCTAAAAAAAAAGGCTAGATAAACCAAGAGAGGTGAAGCAACAGAACACAGCTGGAAATTTGCTTGGTTTAGCTTAGAGTTCGGACGAAGAATAGTTGATGATGTCATGTGAGCCCTATGGGAACTGGACTATATTTCCTTGTCATATGTCTGCATTCCAAACGGCAAAATGTAGATTGTATACTAGTTTTTTTAATGTATATACTATTATTAGGTTGTGTTTTGCACCAGAATTGAAAGCAAAGCTGCTTTAATGTTGCTACTAAGTTGCTACTCCCCTATCTGTTAAGCGTTTTTCACGTTCCGTTGCCGTAGAAGGTCAACGCCAAATTTTCGCTGCCATGCATCCGTGTTCTGTTTCATCAGAAAGTTCCTCACAATTCCCATCTCATTTTTATCCGGGAAGCAAAGCAATCCAAAATATTTAGTTAAATAGCACAACGAGCAAGGGTGGTAAAGTCAGTTGAGGCGGCATAAGATTTGCGCCCAACATTCAATGTGTGCACAACAATTGACAAACACAATAAGTTACCACCAACACTTTGATACCATGTGAACTTGGGGCACAACAGTCAACAGGGGCAATACTAACACTCCTATCTAGCTTTATCAAAGCGTCATAGCGGGAACTTGACCATTAGTTGTGACATAAAAAGAACTTTACAAAGGGACAAGTTATCAATTCTGTAGCCTTCTCAATTTGGTCCAGTCTTAGAAATTGATGAATCCACAAGAACGAGGGGGCTCCACGTGTGTTAGGTCACGGCCAAAAACAAAAACAGATTTACATATTTTTCCAGAAGTTTCTGATGCCATAAGCAAAAGATTTCAGGCTGCCCAAAAGACCCGCGTTTGCGGATTCCTCATGCTTTGGGTTGTCATCTCTGCATAACACGACATACAAAACAAAAAATTACCATGGCATCCAAAGTTGACATTTAAAAGCAACAAGTTTGCACTTTTTCCAGCTATATGCATCGAATGGAACAAAAGAAACCAGCTTAGGTTCCATTATATCTATGACACTGCGTACAGGGAATGAAATATGTCCTTTATGAACTATGATGTGTTAGTGTTAATTATCTTAGAGAATAGAGCAGCTCAACAAAATAATATTAGCTGTGCATTCTAATACAAGGCTTCTAAAGCTGACCCAAACCTTAGTTCCTGGTTACAGTTCCAGGATGTTTCAGGCTGTGAACTGTGAAGTGCTCCCTGGCCCATCCACGAACCTGAATTCTGGGTCCAGTCAGTCAGAAACTAACTGGTTCAGTCTTTCATGAAAAATCTACCAGGTCACAAGGTTCACTATGTTGCATAGAACTGTTCTCTCAAATATCAGAATTGAAGTGACTCCACAATGACTAGGAATAAATTAGCTGAATCAGTCATTGGCACAAATTGATGGAATTTCAGCTCTGTTTGGCAAAGGCATATTTCCAGGGAATCGAGGAACTGCATGTCACCAGTTAGTTAATAGCAATTCTCTAACTAAGTCCAAGGGAAGATCCATCTTCCACAGCCTGAATTAACATGTCACCAGTTAGTTAATAGCAATTCTCTAACTAAATCCAAGGGAAGATTCATCTTCCACAGCCTGAATTAACCAATTGTATACACTAAACGGCAGAAGTAATCCTCTTGCCAAGTCCAAGCAGTTGATCATACCAAAAGAACTAAACCATACAGGCATAACAACTTTTAGCATACTATAAATCTTATCAAATAATTTTGACATGTTGGTTTTAATGAAATTGAAAGAAAAGCATTTTGCACGTAAAAGCCTAATAGGGTAATACCTGGCATGTGTCTTTGCCTCATTTGTCATGTCACTTCCACTTTCATCTGATGCATTTGAAGCATTTGCATCCAAAGATTTTTTCGAATTCTTCAAATTGAATTTGTTAGCTTCTATTTCCCTTTGCTGGTTTCCAGGGTTTGGTTTGTCCTGCACATGCACAATCTTAAGGGATATGTCTAAAAAAACTTTGCTAAGCACAAAATAACCACCTCGAGTTTTGACTTCATACCGTTAGGTCCTTAAAGCTCTCACTCTCTGTTCCTTGAAGCTGATCCACCTTACCTTCATCCTTAGGTAAGGAGTTCTCAGAAACTTCAACTGTTCCTTGATGTTGAGCCACTTCAGCATCATCCTCGGCCATGGACTGCTCAGAAACTTGACTTTCAAGCACTCTGGCTTCAACCTTTTGCATGGGGTGCTCAGTGACTTCAACTGTTCCTTGAAGTGGAGCTGACTTAGGATTACCCAGTTGTAATTTTGTTGCATGATTATACTTCATTTCTGAAAGTACCTCATACACTGTGTAATGACTGCCTCCAATTTGCTGACGGATATTTGTTATAGTAGGAAACTTGCCTTCATTTGATGCCCTATAACTGCACTAAACAGAAGCACATGGTTTAACAGTCACGAAAATAACTAACTAACCAGAAAAAAGAAAAACGTTTTCATAACTCGTAGACATAATTGCCACTCTTTATCAGAATCCTACAGATCTGAATGAGTTGAGCCACATTTCCATTGTTAATTTCTAAATCTCAAATGTCAATCCTTAATGCACAACTAGCATAAATGTCTATTACTCGGCTCGAAACAAGCCAAACAGAAATGCTAATGAGCTGAAAGCTACACACACTTGCTACTTACTCCGTATGAACCAAAAAGATAAACTCTACAACCAGAAAATCGAGTGAGAAAAAGTCACCTACTTCTCAACGAATTCCATTATCCGAACCTTCCTCTCCTGCTTTGTAGCCCTCTTCTGCCCCTTCAGTGGCGGCTCCTGCGCAGGCAGCGGCGCCGCATGCGCCTCCCCCGGGAGGTCCGGTAGCACGACCGTGTGGTGGCGCTAGAGACACCCGCGATTACTGGAAAGAGGGAACAGATCAGGCAAACAAGATCACATCACCGCCGGGGCCAAAACCCAGAGCCTGGATCGAACACGGGAGGCGCGACTATCTTTACTCACCTTTCCTGAAGGCGGCGGAGGAGGAGAGGCGCGCGGACGCCTGCATCGCGGAGCCCAATGGCGGATTGCGGAGGGAAGCCGGGCGCCCTAGGGTTTCATGCTCTGTCTGACTGGACGAGGAGAGCGAGGTTTTAGCCGACTGAAGAAGGCGAAGAAAGGGGACGAGACGGCGGGGCGGCGGCGGCGGGTGGTGTGTGTTGATGCTGCGGCCCAACCAAAAGAATAAGAGGGCTGTGCATTCCAACAAAAAAAAAAAAGTTGACTTCGCCAGGGTAGTCCTTCTTCATTTTCATATGCCTTTGGTGAAACACAAGAAGACCGATTGTTGTTGCCAGATTTCATCAAAAAGATTTGTTGTCATTTTTATTGTCCAAAAAGAAGTTATGCACGTCTGGATTGAGGGAGATTTTGAAAATCTGATAAAAAAGAATCTCATAATCCTAGGAACTCATCCAAACATGATAGATTTTATACCAGATTCTAAAATTTAACACATCAGAGATATTTGATTTGGAAATCCCTATGCAATCCAATATTCATCCTACAGATCACCAAAGTTGAGCTCTAGGCACATAAATCACCAAACCTCCCAAATAGGGTTTTATTATAGGCATGACAAAATATTAAAAAAATGAAAGAAAACTGTTGGATTTTATATGGTATGACAATAAAATTTTGAAAAATATAAAAAAATGATTTTATTATAGGCATGACAAAATATAAAAAATGAAAGAAAACTGCTGGATTTTATATGGTATGACAATAAAATTTTGAAAAAAATATATTAAAAAATTGCTTTCATTGAGAGTCAAACTCAAGACCTCCCAAATAGGGTTTTATTATAGGCATGACAAAATATAAAAAAAATGAAAGAAAACTGCTTGATTTTAGATGGTATGACAATAAAATTTTGAAAAATATAAAAAATGATTTTATTATAGGCATGACAAAATATAAAAAATGAAAGAAAAATGCTGGATTTTATATGGTATACAATAAAATTTTGAAAAAATTTATTAAAAATTGCTTTCATTGAGAGTCAAACTAAGACCTCCCGCTTACTAAAGCGGTGTTCTAACCAACTGAGCTACAAAAACTGTTGTGTTTAAAAAAAATCAGTATCTCTTTTAAATAATTAAACCAGCTCTTGCAATTACATTCTTTTCGGGATAGGATGGAGTAATTTCAGCTTGTTCGCTTGGTCGTATTTGGCTTATAAGCCATGGCTTATCAGCCAACGAACAATATTTTTTTCTCACACCAAACCAGCCAACAGTACTTTCAGCCATGGATTATAAGCCAAACCAGCCCAAACGAACATGGCGTTTATTTGATTGAACATGTTGGAGTATGACTAAACCTCACCTTCCTCCTCATCACAGGAGACACAAAATATAAAACGTTAAACCAATATTTGACAAAGAGCACCTCATAGAACTCTCAATCAGGAGAAATAGCTCGAGTGACTATCGAACTGGAGAGAATTGTTGGTTTGCCTATTGATTATGCGTGCGTTCGAAAGCATCATTTTTAATGCAAAACAACTCTGTGATTACCAGGGGGATCTCTGTCTTCTCTCCCTGTTCTATAAAGTAGAACAGAAGAAAATGACAACCCTGTGATGGTCTCTGATGAAACCAACATGCATGAAATGGTGCGCAAAATGTCACACCATGAATCACATGCATCTGAACAATGTATGGCTAACAAAGAAACACAAACACATTTGTGGAGCAGCAATCCATCTTGCCACCACCACCTAGATAGATAGAACAAATACACTGAGACCATGCCTCTGCTTACAATTTCTATCCACTGCGAGTTCGCCGAGACGACTCGAACACCAGACCGGCCGCTCGCCACGCTGCCGCTGCCACGATGAGCGCGTCCACGGTACTGGCCGTTATTACCATTTCCAGAGCCGGCGCTCGACCGGCCACTGGGCTCGGGCTGGGACTGCCTCTGCTTGCTCTGTCGGGGCCTGTTTATCGGGCTGCAGCGGCCGCAGTACGTGACTGCTGGACTGCTCGACAGCCTCGCCGCCGGTGCTCCACGACTGCGGGTCCGGTCCGTGGACTCGACCAAGGTGGGTTCCCAGGAGGGCGTCCACGGGTGGCCGGAGACGCTATTGCTCCCGGCTGACTGACTCCTGAGGCTCGGTTTCCACGCGGACGTCCCGCACCGGCAGCAGGTGCTTGCGCGCGGCGCTCGGCTCGACGAAGTCGTCGCTGCCGACCGGCGCGTTGACGGAGCCTTTGTCATCGGTGGAGTGGCCAGGCTCGTATTCGTAGGTGCGGTTCTCGGACGACGAGGAGTTTAGGTCGGCCACGACCACGACGATGGAGCAGGCCTTGGCGACGCACGCCGGGAGCGAGAAGGACCGCGTCGCCGGCGTGGCGGAGGGAGCTGCGGAGGTGGATTGCTGTGGGTAGTTGTGGATGTCCTCGACTCAAGCAGCTGGGTGGTGTACGAGCCGGGGTTTTGGTCGAAGTCGCGCGACGCCCGCCGCGATCGGCAGCCTAGCTGCGCACCGGGCCTTTGGCCCTTTGGGTTAGGCTCTCTCTCGGCCACGATGCTCACCGTGCGCGTCGCGTTCGTCTTCGACGAGTGCGCTCTCGTCTCTGACGCCGCAACCGCAACGGTGGCGTCCTCTGCGATCTCCGGCTTTTCCTTCCCGGAGCAGCGGCTTGGCACCGCCGTCGGCTCCTTTCCACGCCCCGTCGCCTCCTCGGGCGTGGCGGCGACGGCAGTCTCAGTGGATTTCTCAAGTCACGGCAAAAGTTGCATTGGGTGCTTATGGTGAAACTCTTCTATTTACCTGAAGACCGAATAAATAAACGAATTGCATAAAAGGAAAAAAAATCAAGAGAATTAAAAGACGATACTACACATTGACTTTATTTATCCTAACCGACCTTCCCGTCCCTTTTCGCCAATGGTTCATTAAGCATGGACAGCCTGTTAAACTCACTTAGATTTGAAATACTTATAGATTTTGCTGTAAAAATTATTTCGAAGTGCTGTGTAAGAATATTTAATGTCAAAATAGAGATAAAATTACAGAATATTAAAAAAATTGGAGCAAACTCGAATAGGCAAACTAATCCCCTTTAGCTCCTTTATATTTACTAGCTAATGGCCCGTGCGTTGCTACGGGCAATAAGAATACAAACCAAATTTATCCATATGAATGATAAATGAGCAACATCTCAAAATCAAATCAAGTAAAAAGAACACATCGAAGTACCAAGGCAACATTATATGTATACTATATATAGAGACTTTTTTCAATTATTATAAAAGATCGTACTCGAATAGGCAAAATTCTAATCCCCTTTAGCTCCTTTATATTTATCTAACTAAACTAATGGCCCGTGCGTTCAAATATGTTATTAATTTTTTAGCTCTTACGACAAAAAAATATGAAAAACTGATATGATTGTAATCTATTAAATCTACCAATATTTTTTATCCAAAATAAATATGAATATGATTAAATAGAGCAACATCTCAAAAAAAATCAAGTAAAAAGAACACATCGAAGTACCAAAAAGTTAAAGTAGTGGTAAGTACCATTATATGTATACTATATATTACGATCTTTTTATATAACGTGGCAAAAGTCTCTCGTTTCTCATATATATTCGTTGGTAATGAGTTGCATAATGAAGTTCTAAAAGACGTAGGTGAATAGAGAACGCTGACACAAATTCCTTTACACAATTACAACTTCATTATTGTCAACAAACAATTTTCAGATAGTCGATTGCAAAGATGCACATAGGCTCCTTTCATGACCACCACCACCAAACACCACCCGCACCTCCTGTTCTTATTGTGGGCCGTTGCGCTATGCTCAAAGTATTTATGGTCCTCTCTGCAGCATCCTTTCTTTCTGCATCTGACTTGATCTCAGCAAGGTACCTGAAAAATCATCACGACGAGAAATTCATAGTCCCCTAAACACAACCCATAAGCAAGCACACAACGATTTCAGAAATTACAGTCAAGGCAGTGCCTAGGACTCTAGAGTGTGGGCGGATCTGCATTCTGCAGCACAGTAGGAGGCTGGCAGGGGCTCGGTGGGAACGGGAGGTACCTGGTTATCTAAGTGTAGGAGGGAAACAAATAAGAATTTCAGTTTGTCTACAGTGGCAACTGGAGTAATTTATAGTTTTTAAATCTTGGCATGATATTGTAGTATTGTACTTGTTTGTCTACAGTGGCAACTGGAGTGAATTTCAGAAAAGGCAGCTCATGAGTCTGACCTCCTGATAAGAATACAAGTTTGGTAACGGTCGAGCCTAATTTGTGCCACTGAAATGCAATATCATTTGTTAAACAGTAAAATAATGAATGTGTGACCATGCAGCCTTTCTCTAAAGGCAAAACTAACTGAACGTATTTGTTTAATAAACTTCTGTGTTAATCAAATTAGCAGCCATCCTACCTATTTCAGAGATATGACCAACCAAGAAAAAATAGAGATAGAAACAGTTACGTGATAGAATGCAACAACTATTTCAGTGTTTTACCCATTAGCAGTTCTTGACATCTCGTAGGTGACAATCTAAGGCAATAATAGACAAGCATGAGGTTCAACAAACCACTTGTGCGCCTTTCAAAAAGGACCCATCTTACTGAATGCAATTGTGGTTCTTCAGGGAAAAGAAAAACTAAATCTAAACGGCAGGCAACAGTTTTGGGAAACATCATCCGAGAACAACATGCCACATGCATGCAAGTGGAAATTCACACCTAATTGATGATCTGATACGTTGTTGTTGAAGCTACTCTTTTCAGGAGCTGCAAGAGTATGAGCAGAAGCACAAATCATCATCATTAGAATACTGCATTCAGCGCAGCAGATGCCCAATTGACATTTCACATAACCCAAAACTGCATCCCCTTGGGACAAAAATATGCAAGTACCATATACTGTATATCACAAATGACTAGTCCCTTTCGACTTCAATCAGTAACTCAGCCTCAATTACTCCATACACAACGGTTGCTACAATGTTCACAAACCACTAAAACTCAGCC